ACTAGATGTACAGAGCTAGCAATTCGTTGAATTAGTAGAAATTTTCTACCAATAATTATCAATTTAATAAACATTCTCAAACAAAATAATTAAAGCCATGTTTATCTTGATGAGACAATACAAATAAATCATATAAATTAATGTTTCCATTGTTGCCTAGTTTTATTTTTTTGTTATTTAGATAAGGTTTTTATTATTTTAGAATCTTTTAGAATATCAATTCTGGAACGTTAAGCGTATCTATTTATCAATAATCTTAAGTAATGTTTATTGATATTTGACCAACAAAATCATTATACATATTACCGATAAAAAATTATATATTATCATTAATGCAGTTATTGACGCAGCTCCAAATAATTAAAGTCGCATTTATCTTAATGAGACAACAAGAATATAGGGGCTAGGTGCTGAGAAAAGGACCCAAATTGACAAAAATATAAAGATCTTCAGAAAATTAATTTTTGTTATAAATCTTATAATAAATCATAAGAAAATGCAAACTTTAAAGAGCTATATTGCAAAATTTTATTAATATAACTACTTTTTATTTTAAGTAAAAATTGGTTCTAATCTTATTTTAAGTTGGTTCATGCAAAAAATTACTTTTGAAAAAATTGTCAATTTGAGCCCTTTTCCCAGCACCTAGCCCATATTTTTAGATCGATCAGATTTATGCCGCAGAATTCTGGCACTACATTTCCTAAATTCAAAAATCGGTAGAAATAGAAAAAACGTTATAAATATATTGTGTATTAAAATATTAATGTTCTTACATTAATAAAATTTTTTTAAGATAATGGCTGGCCAAATCAAGAAGGAAAAGTAATGGTAATGTTAGATTCAAAATTGTTATACAATAAAAAATTAAGACAATAGACGTTTATAACAAAGATATCTGTGAAAACCAAACAGATTACATCCATGTAGCAGCTATAGATCCTGGTATTCACCCATGGAAATTTTGGTGACAATAACATTGATCGCATTTTTCGCCTAGGACATGTTCTTATTAAAGCACTAGCAAAAAAACGTAACTTAACTGTGCGCAGGACATTGAAATGACTAACTTAGTCAAGATTTATACATAAAAAATATAAAAAATCAGCATTATGGTTAACTCGTACTCTTGATGTAATTGTATTACCTATGTTTGGTAGCATACAAATGTCTCGTTGTCAAATAATAGTAAAACTGTTCGAAAAATGGTGGGCACGTGCTAGGTTTAGAAAGCGATTACTATCTAAAATGGAGGAGTTTGGCAAAGTTGTAATAACATCTGTTTCAGAAGCATACATGCAGCATATCAAAAAGAGTTTAGGATGAAATAAAGAGTTTAAGTGTGATAGTTATAGACTTAAGATTAATAGGAACTTAAATGGCGCTCGAGTGATATTCCTTCGGGCTTTGCATAGTTATGCAAACATTTGATTGTATTTAGTTATAGTTAATCGATCCAATCCATCTGACTCTATTAAATCCTCCACTTCTCACCTGTTGTTGTCTCTTTTGTAACTTAATCGTAGTCTTTAAATTATGATTGATATTAATATAAATCACATTAATTGATAATACTATTACAACCTTCTAATAGAGTATTTTAAAGGATATTTAAGTTTTTTCAGACTAGCTTTTTTGTTTACATTGTATATTTGGGATGTCATCAATCAAAACGTACCAAAGTGTGATTTAAAATATAATTACACAATATCGATATTAATTATAACACGTTATTGTACGTTTTGATTGATGACATCTCATTTGTATATTTGTAATTAAATAATTTTACATAGTTAATTAAAAAATTTTACATAGTCAATTAAAATTACCTATATTGAATTTATCGAATGACAAGATCTCGCATAAAAAAAAATTATAATTCTAAAAAAGAAAAAAAATTATAATTCTAAAAAAGAAAAAAATTATAATTCTAAAAAGAAAAAAATTTATACGTAGTAAGAATTTCGTTATCCAATATTGCATCGTATTGGACAAAGTTTTGAATAAATAAAAAGATTTTCTAGTGAATTCAGCCAGCAATTTTTGCTTTTGTTAATTATTTTAATAGTTTAGAAAATTCTTTACAATATCAAAAAAGAAAAAAAAGATATATGGATTGCCTTAAATAGAAATCAGGTAGATTGACATTTAAAAATAATTAATCTCTTAACTTCGATAGCCAAAAGGAAACTTGGTTGTCAAAGATTTAAAAATAAGGAGAGATGTATTTGAACCACAGGATATTTAAATTCGACAAAGGCTTTAAAAATAAGAAAGCTATTTTTGTTACGGATCATTATCCTATTGAGTTCGAATTGAAGTTGCATTAAATAGTAATAGAATATCAAGAGTGATTATTCAAATCTATAAGAAAAATTTTATCAATTATTAATGCTTATTGAGTAATTTGAATGCTTCTTGTGCACCATGATCTTTTACATTTCTATATTTATTTATCAATAAAATTGCATCTGGAAGACCAAAATTCCCAGCTTCAACAATTTTCCTATAACCTTTATTAACATCTTTAGTGCAACTGATTCCAGAAAGTAAATGTAATCCTATTTTATATTTTATTCTATAACTAAAGACATCAAGGACATCATCTTCCATTTTTTGATATGTCTTAAAAGCATTTTCATAGTCAGAAGAATCAGCAATTACATTAAATAGCTTTGATCGAATAGACTGATATTTTACTTTAGCGTCTAAATATTCACGGTATATTGTAACATCATCTTTTTCATTATCATTATAATTTCTAGTACGACAAGTCTGCATTTTTTTATTTGATTATTCAGGATAATCTATAATATGTAATTTATAGATTTCATATTTTGGGTAATTTATATATTTAATATTTTGTGTAATATATAAAATTAGATTTTTAATTTTAATCTTGTTCGATTTTTAATAATTTAATTTCAATTCACAAATTTAAGATAGAAGTTTTTATTTAAATATTGAATTGATCGCAATAATTATTTCATTAAAAAAATAAAAAGCCAAAAATAAAAAAATATTAAATTGTTAGTTTTTTGAATTTTAAAAGTTCATACCAAATTAAGGTGTAAAGAAAATACAAAAATACAAGAAATAATCTTGTTCTGCAAACAATTCAAATACACTATTATGTTAAAGAAATTAAATTTATTAGCCTCAATTAAGTTCACATAAAGAAGACAATTTACATTTGACTAATTAAAATTAAGGATAACTAAAAATTAAATTGTATAATTTCTGAATTTGTGAAAAAAAGCTTTGAAAATGCTTTTCTTTTAACTTTCTTAGTAGTGTTTTCATATTTAGTGAGTATTATTTAACATTTTTCATGTAGGAAGATAAAAAAGTTTTGCATGAAAAAAGCTTGGAAAAAAAGATGCTTTTTTTTTAATCCTCTAACAGTGTTTTTTTCACTGAAATTATCAGTAATAATTTTATCGTCATACCATTTATCTTGTAATAAGAAATCAAATAATAAAGTAAAAATGCAAAGAGAATGAAATACAGCATTACGGAATTGATTTTATTTAAAATAGGTGACTTAGGTTTCGAATGATCAGTGAAATAGAATTCCAATTTATGTCGTATCAGTATTTTTTTTATTATTTTAGGTTTAAATGGTTATGAATTTAATAGTAATCAATATAAATTCTTTTTTGAATCCATTGAACTTTTGATTATTTGTTTATAGGTAAAAATTAGGCATAACGATAACTTTTTAAAATATACTGTACATATGTACGTAGGTTACAATCAAGGAAAAGATCTACAACCTAACTATAAACTAACAGCTAATACTAGTTCTTTTAACTTGAAAACTAAGCAAAGAAATAGATATATTGCACTGCCTAATACTCTGAAAGCAGATAATATTGAAACTGACCAAAATACTATTAATACAAAAAAAAATTAATAAAAATATAATGTCAAAGAATTTAAAATGGATTTAAATAAATATCTTACCAAAAGCCAAATAAGAGTTATAGGCACCACTATAATCTTGATTTGAAAAATATTTTGAAAAAGTATTTGATGTGAATAAAATGATTATTAATCCATTTGTAAATATCCATGAAAGAACCAAATTTGTTTTAAACAATCTATAATAATTATCTTTCTTTGTAAAGGCATTGCGATGTTGCTTCTTTTCGTGACCTTTATTTTTTAACTCTTCGATAATGTTATTGTATGCAGCATTTATATCTTCTTCCTCAATGACATTAATCTTAATGGTTGTTTTATCATCTTCCTCAGTTACCAGCGTACCATTCAGATTTCCAGTATTAATATTATCTCCTTTTGTACCCCATGAAACATCATGAGTATTACAAAAAGCATAAATCATAAGAATATTAACATAAGAAGGAACAAGTAAAATGTATTGAATTAAGCAGCTGAACATGTGCCATGGCTCACAATGAATAAAGAATGAAAAAAGATATAGCAAGTAAGTCAAAGCAACGAAAATTACTATATCACAGAATGCTGCATTCTTTAAAGCTTCTTGAATACTCAAAGGGCTCTTAAAATCATTGGTGGTACTGCTTTAAATACAGTGAGATACATAATGTAAATTGAGCAGTAAAGCATAAATACTATGATAATTGCAAAGAGAACTATACAAAGTGTGTATGTCAATTTTGTTCCTTGAGGACGATTGCCTCCCATTGAACAGATAAAAATTGTTACAATAACTATTAAATATAATGATCATGTAGCATCAAAAACTTTATCTCCATAACCTTTGAAAGGATCAGTTGTAGGATTTGAAGTGGTGAACTGAAATAAGAAAAAAAATGCCAAGTAAAAGTTCTCCTAATTTAGATAAAAGCAAGAAATAAAATAAATAACATAAATTGATACTGATTTTTGATGAATATTTAAGATGTCATATTTACTAAAAAAAACCAATTAAAGATTAATTGTATACCATTATAAATGAATTGAATTTGTAATAATATCTTGCGATAAAGTGGCTGTTCAGAGCTCTAAATATAGATAAATTTGACAATTGAATAGAAAGCAGTAAAGAATGTTTATTAAATTGATAATTATTGGTAGAAAATTTCTACTAATTCAACGAATTGCTAGCTCTGTACATCTAGT